ACTTCATACATATACTGTGTACATTCACTTCATATGCTGCTTTGCCAGTTACTACAAATATCAATGTCAGGACTTCATTTCATTTTATTTTATAGATATACTTTTTTTTTTTTTAATTTATACCGCTATAGTACAATTTAAGACAGTATCATACTTTCATTATTTCATTTTATGCTTATGTTTATTAAATGTTTTAATGTTAAATGGTTTTGTTGCACCGGGGTCTGAGAGTAATGTAATTTCAATCCTGTGTATGTCCTGTACATATTGCAGTTTTTGACAATAAATTGACTTTGACTTTTGACTTTGATGTTAGCATCATACATTTATTTTCTCTTGTTTTAGATTATTGCTTGCTTTTAGAATACAAAGGTCTGGATTATACTTCATCAGTGCTCAGTTTACACCTTCCAAACATTTAAAAGTCTACAGTCAAACTACAGTTTATTTCTAATTTTAAAGTAATGATAAAACATATCAACAATTTCTTAATAACATGGAGCAAACAAGATGTTATTGTTTGTTTTTGTTTGGCATTTGAACTTAATTTTTAGTGCCATAAAGAAAGTTGAAATATTTTTAATTGGTCAGTTAAACGTTTTATTCAAGTAATTTTTTTAATTGGGGCGGCTGTGGCTGAGTGGTTAGAGCAGTCATCCTTCAATGCGAGAGTTGGGGGTTTAAATCCACCAGCAGTCACATGCTGAAGTGTCCCTGGGCAAGACACTGAACCCCTCTTCACCTCTGATGTGTCCCATCGGTGTATGAATGTGATAAATCTCTGATTAGTCTCTTTAGCATGATTTGTTCAATTATCTTTGTATAGATCTAGTAGAGAGCTGTATGAATGGGTAAATGAGACACATGGAAAGTGTTTTGAGTATCTCAATAAGATACAAAGGCTCTATATAAGTACAGTCCATTTAACATAATGATGATTTTATGAAGATCTAGCACTTCTTGGGTACTTGGGTCAACTCAGGCAAGATATTTTAAAAATATTTTTGCTGAATTATCTGTGTAATGAGAGATTTGCATGGTGTGACAGTTTAAATCACAGCTTTTGCATGAATTTCTTTGAAATTATGAAGGTTGGAGTTCTTTCTAAGACAGCAGCAATCAAGTCAGATATGCTTGCACTATTGAAATATGCAGCGTTTCATTAGCGTATTGTTGTAAAACGTTCAGCATAAGGAAACGGCTTCAGAATTTTAATCATTTATGTTAATAAACACCACAAACACGAGGGAAATATAAGTAAAAGCATAAGGCTTCTTTAAACCAATATCTT